TCCTATGATTTACTGTGGTGCCAGCACCCCACCTAGGAGATACAATGCATAATGGGGATATATCTATGATAACATGAAACATGGTCACAAAGATGGACAATTCTTTTAATCTACCTTTATTGAAGGCTGCTTTAAAAATGTATAATGACAGGGCCGCTTTAAACATGATTCCACAACACTTTGGTGGAGGTTACTTCTCTGGCATACCTCCCAACTTTGTGAAATTGGAAAGAAGGACACATTATAGCATGAAATATGCAGGCAAAGGATATGCCACCTGCCATGCCTCCAGTGCACAAAAATAATTGGTTTAATCCGAAATAGTTTTTTTTAATCACTATTTTGTTTTATTATGGCTTTTCCAAATAAATGCAATATTTTAAAGGATATACAAAAGGTTTTAGTGCAGTAAAACAGATTTTATAGTTAAATAATACACTTTTTATAGAGGTCTATATATCAGGGCAACGGAAGAGTGACAAAGAAATTTGGTTCCAAAAGAGGGACAGTCTTTCCAAATGAGGGACAATTGTGAGCTGTGGTCTATGGGTATGGGGGGGAAGAGATTAAAATTGAATACAGCCCAGGGCCCATGGTATACTCATTCCACCACTGCATGCTGCTATGGGTTGCCTGGTTCTAAACAAGACATGCTTTTTGCAGCCTGTAATATAAAAAATCTGACTCCTGCTTTCAGAAACGATTCCCACTAAAAATGTCATATTTATAAGGCCCGTGTTCCGCATTATTGGCCTGTCTCTGGAAACAGACCTGTAGATGCTAGATGACAAACAAATGGGAAGGAAATGTAATTTATTGCTTTAATATCTCAGAGCAATAAGCAAACCTGCCTTTCAATGAGCCATTAGTAAAGAAGCATGCTTAGACAGGATCCCTGTGTATAGAAGCATAGTGAGGGACGCCAGCAGATTATTGCAGATAAGGGTATTGTGGAGGCGCATAGAGCGAGGACTTTAATCACCAATGGGTGACACATTTTTTTATTCTCACACGGAAGACATTCAGACATGGAATTTAAAATAATGTCTGATGAAACTCGGGCACATTAAGACTTTTATTCAACACGCCTTCTAAAACAACAGGAACTTGGAAAACGTTACTTAGACATACCACCTGGCAGTAAATGCTATATCAATATTGGAGGAGTCATCAGTTATTGATTTTATCTCTTGCAATGGATTGTGGGTGAGAGGATAACAGCTGAACCAATTAAGCAATTCACCGTTTACTGACATTCCATCTGATTTATAATATATTCATAAGGTGTCTGTAATACTTTGGCTGTCTTTGTATGTGTAGCTTAATTCATATCATGGTGAGTCACAAATATTGTATTCATGCTTGATCCTTTATGGTTCGTGTAATTGAGTATACTGATAACACGCTTTGAACACAGTGCCGTTTGTGACTACAAAATTGTTTTTGCAGGCAGTAAATGGGAACACTGATAATGAAATGAGGTAAGGATTAATTGTGGCTGGAAGAACATTTTTCTTATAAACATGTATACATATAGTGACCATGAAAAAAACTGATTCACATTTTAGCAATCGGTTACGGTGCATTAAAACGTGTTGAATTGTGTGTTAATGTGCATTGGGTTAAGGCAGCCCATTCATTATAAACGGGCCGCCAACACACCACATGGGATCAGAAAATGCACATGACAAGTTCCAAAGAGGTTCCCACCGCATTCCTCTGGCATGTCCCATGCCTGATGAAGGGACCCTGAGTGGCCCCGAGATGTTGCTTTGTGACAAGACGCGTGTACATCAATAATATGACCACTCGTTGAAGATTTTACTTTGGTGTGCTGGTCATATACTGTACTACTCAGAAAATGCACAGGACCCTTTTTTTTTAGCAAGGCAACACACCACAATGAATGATACGTGCGCTGTGGTGTGTTGCATTCTACAGTACAGTGTGATGGGTCGCCATTCACAATAAATGGCACCACACAGAGAAGGTGTGTCCCTATGCATTGTGGTCACATGCATACTATACCACAAACTTCCACAACTCACAAAGGTGAACAGGCCCTGTGTCAGCTGCCCCCTGTTATGTAAGAGGATAAATACTTGCCTCTCAAGCATCACGTTTGATTAAACAATTTAATACTCAGTACAAAGTGTACCTGTATATAGGAACAAGCCATTCAATTGCTCATTGACAGTAGATTCCATCTGGTATCTACAGAGCTAACTAGTATGTTCTCTGTGCCCAGAAGCAGTCCTATGTAAGATTCTGCTTTAGAGAAAGTCAAGCATGGGTACACTTCTCTGAACCCCAGAATGCAATGCAGGTGTTACTGGTCGCCAACTACCCGCATTGCATTGTGGGATGCACTGTGCACAGCAGATCAACATTTGGTGTCGAATTATAAAGGGGTTGAGGCAGAGGCAGTTTGAATTTTGTAACCATGCTCTGCAGTTACCAATGCCGACTAATAATGCATATGATCACTTGAATGGTTTATTTCTTAAGATCGATTTGCTTAAAATTTGAACACTGGTATGTTTTTCTTACACAGTGCCAGTCACAATTACCTGTTATGAAGTGAATCCTATGTGCAAATGGCTGCTTCTCTCTATACAATCCTCCCTAGTGATGCCAGATCCTAGAGAGAGCAGTGATCTTCCGGGGTTGTTGGGTTAACAGCGTCAGCTGCAGCTGTGAAGGCCCCCTGTTGTTCACCTGATCTTTTCTCTTGCTCATTCGCAAGGCCTTCTGTGACTGGCTAAGGGGAGGGGTGAATGAATGACAGATTCCCTCTGTCCTTTTACAAAACATTTGTATTCTGTGGAAATAATTCAAGGCGTTCTGTGAATGGAGGAGGAAAAATCCTGTCATTCATCCTCCCGTCCTCCATTCACAGAGCACTTTGAATCCATTTCACAGAATACAAGATGTTCTGACAAAGGACAGAGGATATCCTGTCATTCATCCTCCCCTCTCCATTCACAGAGTACCTTGAATTATTTTCACAGAATACACTGTGTTCTGCGGAAGGACAAATTAAATCCTGCCATTCATCCTCCCCTCCTCTATTCACAGAATACCTTGACTTATTTTCACAGAATACAGGGTGTTCTGTGAAAGAACAGAGGGAATCCTGTCCTTCATGCTCCCCTCCTCCATACACAGAACACCTTGAATTATACTCACAGAATACAAGGCGTTCTGTGAAAGGACAGAAGAAATCCTGTCATTTATTCTCCCCTCCTCCATTTACAAAACTTGTATTCTGTGAAAATAATTTTGTGAATGGGAAAGGGAGAGGAAAGGGAGGGTGAACAACAGGAGCCCATCACAGTCCCAGCCAATGTTGTTAACCCCATGCAGTGCCGGAAGATCACTGTTCTGTCTAGGATTCGGCATTATTGAAGGAAGGATTGGTAAAGTAAGCAGCCGCCATCAAATTACAGAGCACACTCCATTACTGGCAAATGGTGTGACATAAAAAAATACTGAAATTCAGGTTTAAATACATTCTGTTTAGTTACTGTTGCAAATTACTGTTGTAAATTACTTCCCCCATTTATACTGTGTAGCTGGATATTGATATCGCTAATAACCCCTGCAGCACCTTCACTTCTTGTATCACCTTCTCACTTCTTCGTTGGACTATGAATGAGCATCAACGATTCCTCAACCCTGTATTCCTGTAACCTGCCTAGACTCCTTTACCCTTCAGCCTCCAGAGTCTGAAACATGTTAGGAGGACAGACTGTGTTAAAGTGACACTAAACTCAGGAGTTAGACCTTAAAAATGCATTCAGGTACATTAACTATTAACAAAAATGCATCTTATTTGTGAATCACTCGGCTGCAGATCTTAACATCATCTCTGAATTGTTGCTGACACTGTCCTTCCTTCTGGAGGGTGGATACTTTTGTTTCCCATGGTCCCTGTGTGTGTTGTAAAGTAGTCACCACTCTAAGCTCACTCCTGTGTTGAACTACAATCTCACTACAAGTTAGTAAGCTAAACATGAGATTGTAGTCCATCACAGGAGTGAGCTTAGAGTGGTGACTACTTTACAACACACACAGGGACCATGGGGAACAAAAGTAGCCACCCTCCAGAAGAAAGGACAGTGTCGGCACCAATTCAGAGATGATTTGAGGATCTACAGCCAAGTGATACACAAATAAGATGCATTTTTGTTAACGGTTTAGTACTTGAATGCATTTTATGATTTAGGTTTAATGTCACTTTCATACAAATGCCTTATTGGCTAAAAGGGCTAGCTCTCCCATTTTTATTCAGTTTCTGATGTGCATGGAATTATATAAAGTTAATTTAAAATATTTAAGGTAATTAGGGAAGCAGAATTTGCAATATATATAATTACTTTTAAATGAACACATAATTGAACTAAAGCGTGCTCTTACAATTGCTTGTCTAGGTAAAACGCAAATGGAAAAAACGTTTTTTTTTTCCTAGATGAAGAACAAATTTCTGAGATGAAGAAAAGCAAATGGGAAATATAAGTTACATTTTCACTATCAAATTGTAATCATTTCCACCTGACCTCAATAGTCCACCGTCTCCCATGTATATCTGTATCTATGAAACTCAAGATTTACAGGGTTATTCACAAAAGGGTGAAAAGTTTGGAGCAGGCAGGAGAAGGGAACAATCTAGGACAATATAGCTGATTTGGAAAAATTCTCCAATTCAGCTCACTTTCCAGTTGAGCTATGTTGTCCTAGATTGTTCACTTCTCCTGCCTTCTCCAAACTCTTCACCCTTTTGTGAATAACCCTGTTAGATTTGTTTGGAACATTTATGGCCTCCCTCTGAGTTTTGTCCTCCTGGATCTAGCATTGGACCACCCAGGAGGATCAGAGTAAACTTTACAAACCTGAGCATATCGGAATGATCATAAATTCCACAGGTATGACAATGACAACGGTTCTGAACATGAATTGTATACATAAAACATTATTTCCAGGGTCATTTGCATACTCACGCTTGTCCATACTTGCTCTTCCCCTCAGATTCGGGCCAGTTGAGATAGCAGATATCCCGTCCCTGAATAGGGATGGCATCTGCGTAGTACCCCATGGGAAATGCCATACAGAAGGAGAAGCTCCAGATCACGCAGATGACTATCTTGGTGGCGGTGGCTGATAGTCTTGGTTTCAGGGGGTGGATGATGGCCATATACCTGTAAAGGAGGACACAGTCAGGTGAGTAAAACTTTCACTATACATTCTTTATTTATTTTGCTGAAGCCGATAAGGAACAGATTTCTGGTCTCGGAGACACATCTGGAATAGACATACTTTGCAGCATGCATGCTCATGTGCACCTTACTGTATCTGTTAACAAATTAGAAAGTTCCCTTCCTTGGCGGAACTCAGCGGGTGTGCAGTCAGCAAGCTGTCTATAGGACATTGTTATGCTACATTTGTAATGTAATCCACATATAGCAGAAGACCAATGCTATCTGATCAAGCGGTTATCAAACTGTCACAGTGATGGCAGTGAATTCACTTGACTTACTGATTATAATCCTTATAGCCCAGCTCCAGGGGCCAGTCCTCTTTATTTTTTATAAGTTCATCTGTCCTACAAGCTTTCTTGCCTTGCCTTTATATTGTAAAGTGCTGTGCAAACTGTTGGCACTATATAAATCCTGTATAATAATCATAATGATAATAACGTATAGTCCCTCTAGTACTGAGAGTACTGATTGGTTGTACTAGTAACCTAAGCTTAACTCTATGCACATGGCTGAATACACAGATGAAATACATATAGAGGAATTATTTTACCTGCCAAATCATTTGTATTTCTGTGCATCCATACCAAATGTACACAGCTCTGCCACATAGTAAAGCCCTATCTGGGAGGGCAGGAGACCAGATTTTTCTTTGCTTCTGTTAGGTAAGATTTACAGGTCTTGTGCCTCCCCAGTGCTTCCTCAGTTTTTGACTTTTGAGCCTATCTTCCTGTTCTCTCCCTTCTATCAGCATGCTTCTTGCTAGTACATGACCACTGCAGCACAGCTGATTGGCTCCTTGTGTTGATTCTCCCTTTCTGAGTCTGACTAGGAATTGGAGTAGGTCAGAGGATTGCAAGAGGTTAATGTCAAGTCAATTGTTTTGCCATCTGTGTCCTCCTGGGGAGATTTCCCTTTACTTCCTATCTGAGAGCCACAACAGGAAGTGAGAAAGAATCCCTTGTGGTGAGTAGAGTCACCAGAACTAGTGTCCCCATTGGAAGATTTTGCATTTATTCCTGATTCAGTGACAACCCAAACTTTGGTATTTTCTTTCACTTTCAGTGATCACGGTCAGCAGGACACATAGAGTGGGTGAATCTCCATAACGAGGACACAGACAGCAATAAAAACCTGACAGGGGTTCTACTCCCTCTACACTCAATCCAAATTTTTTTTAAAAATGTTGTCTTCAGTTGCACTTAAAGTGAGTTAATTCCTATCTAGTAAACTATGGAAATGTAAAGAGAATGTGGAAGTTGTCATTGCTGACCTCTCCTTCTACAAAGGCAAGTTGCCTGGCTGTCATGTTGATCCAATGATTTTAATCACTACTAACCAGAACAGGTATGCAGATTAGGAGTTGTGATTTCACTCTGACTATTCTGCTTTGTATGCTTATTCCAGGTCTGTGACTCAGAATGTATAAGGCCCAGTGCAGACCTACGCGATCCGGGATTGCACGTCTCGGGATCGGGTGGTCCTGCACAATGCAGGCCGCGATTGCCGTGCGGCCCTATTGATTTCTATGGGGTGACATCCATGCGGCAATTGCAGAAAAAAGGTACAAGTACCTTTTTTTTGCGATACACAACGCGCGGCTGTTGGGAAGCACGGGCGGGATCGCGGCGGGAAACCGCGCTCTCCGCCTGGCGCGATTAGGGTGCCATTAAAAATAATGGCACCCACAGTGCAATCGGTGCACACCTAGGGAACTCCTCGTGCACGATTGCTGCGCGGTGAGGTGTCACCTAGGTGTGCACCGGCCCTTAATTCAGAGACAGTCAGATAACTAGCATCCTCCAAAGGAGGTCAGCAATGGCAACTTGCAGATTCCTCTAACTCAAAGTTTCCTTAAAGCAGCCTTTCTCAGCCCGGGATGCCGAGGCACCATGGGGTGCCCTCTGACTTCCTCAGGGGTTTCTCAAAATTTTCATACTGTATTGCCTCTGATGTATAGGGGGAATTCTGTTGTGAAAAAGGAGGACTTTGACTTAAAGGGGGCCTTCTGATGTGAAGAGGAGCCCCTATCGTGAGATGGGGTGACTCTGATGTAAAAAGAGAAGGGTCATGAAGTGAAGGGGGCTCCTGATGTAAAGGGGGGATTCTGATGTGAAAGGAGGGATTCAGATGTGAAGGGGGGGGGGGCACTGATGTGAAGGGAGTTCCTGATGTATAGGGGGAACACCACATTTTAATTCTGTATTTTTGCCCAAGGGCCCCCCTTAAAATCCATACCAGACCCCTTTCTTGGATAATGGGCTGATATGGATTTTGGAGGGTAACTAGTAATTTTTGTACATTTAGACTGGGGTGCCTTGAGATTTTCACACTTTTCTAGGGTACCCTGACGGGAAAAAAGTTAAGAAACGCGGCCTTAAAGTAACTATAGCCTCTTTAATACTGATCGCAAAATGGCTTTTTCTAGACAAAAGCTGAAAGTACATTTGAGTTTTATTTCTACAAATCTTATCACAGCCTGCTCTGCGTGATCCAGAAAAGTACGATTCCTGTAGTGATTTGGCAAAAACACAGGTACAATGATGTATGGGAGATCTTTCCACAGAACATTGCTTGGCCGTCATCTTGGTTCACACCTCACTTTGCATGTTCCATAGAAACACTGCCAAAACCTCAACAACCTTTCACAAGTCTCAGCCCCACAATCTGCTCTTTACAGACATTTACAATTCAGTGACCATCTACGGAAACATTATTGAAGAGGAACTCCAGGAATTGTAAAAATAAGCCATGCACTGGGGCTACGTCCAGACTGCAAGGGTTAACCAGTTATTTTTCTCTAGGAGCAGGAAGAAAGCAGATATACTCACCTGATCCTAGGTCTTGCAGTGGTCATCAGCCCCCGCCCCCACCCTGTCATTGGTATGCCCTTGTTGTCTTCAGGTCTAATGTGTGTGCATTAGAGGTGATGATGTCACAGGTCCTTAGACCACTGGAGCCTGGGGGAGAAAATGCTGCAATGACTGGTCTAGCAGCCAAGCTGGACTGAGGATCAGGTGAGTATATCTTCTTCATTTCTGCCCCTAAACCACAACAAGAATTTAACTCTTGCAGTCCGGGGGTAGCCCCACTACAAGGGTTGATTTTTACAATTCCTGGAAAGTTCCTCTTTCAATATGGAATAGACATTCGTTTTGTAAAGATTTGTTTTTCAGACAAAGTTTCGTTATTCAGAGATTCGTATATATCTGAATCTCCGAATGACAGAAATTACGAATAAAAAAAGGAATCCGAATTTCCAAAAACTAAAATTTCGGACGAAATTAGTTAGCGGTAGTCTGTATTAGTTTTTGTTTGTGGACGAATGTTGTTTGCATCAAAGTGACATTAGACAAAAAAATGGGGATTTACTGCCCTTACATTCTGCAGGCCCTTTAGGTCTGGTAGGAATTTTAAAGGGGAACCCCACCCCCCACAAATTTCTACCAGACCCCTGTTCCGAGCACAGGCCCGGCAGGGCAGGAAAGAGGGGGGCGATCGAGCGATCATGCCGATGGGGACGAGGGCCTCTTTCCCATTTTTTTGTATAATGTCACTTTGCTGCAACGAAAATTTGTCCACAAACGAAAGTTCATACAGACTACAGCTAACGAATTTCGTGTGAATCCGAATCCCGAAACAAATTGACTTTCCGACCCGAATCTCAAAAAACTAAATAACGGAAAATCTGAATGAAAACAAAACTAAACTAAACTATTTTTTTGCACATGTCTAATATGGAACATTTTCTCTTGGACTTTGTGAACAATTTCGGTTTTAGCCGGGCAAACATACCAGACCGTTCAAAAACCTTTGAGTCTAATATACAATATATTGGGAAATATGCCAACACCTAAAGGAATATATACTCCAATTCCTTCTCTTCTTTTGGGGAGGATCTGTTTGGAAGCGTCCACCATGAGGGTTGGGGAACTCAAATTGTAGCCACATCCATATAAAGAGAACCATTGACTTGAGCTGTTCCTTTTTTCTTTTGGGGGTGGCAACACTTTGTATGTTCGGATACATTACAATCATCTGGTGCCTCATTGACCTGGTAGACCTCAGCTCCAGGATTATATACGGTAGTAAGGGTTTAGACAAAGAAGCTATGATGTGGATGTGGTTGAATATGGATCCCCTACCTTAGTCCCTGATTGCCTTCCATAGACGGGAGTATAAAGGGTTTTCTGTGCACAATATTATGTCATATAATGGTGTCATATATGATGATTAATTGATTGAGGGGAAGAGAACCCTAAGTGGCAGTCAATGGGACATTGATGTATTTACATAGAGGGATTGAGATATCTCGTGATAAGTTTCTACAGTATAACGCCAGGGCCGGATTTTCTCTCTCTGCTGCCCCAAGGCCAGGTTCCTCAATGCGCTTCCCTCCCTGCCAACCCCCCCAATGGATTTTCTTTTTTTAAACTTTTTTATTACTTTTTTATTTTATTACTTTTTAAATGTTGATTTATCTTAATATCTTTTATTTTTTTTTATTTTTTATAATTTTTGATCTTATTATTTTTTACTTTTTATTACTTTTTCATTTTTTATATTATTATTTCTTATTATTTTTTACTTTTTTGATACATTTTTTTTTTTACTTAACTTTATTGCTATCACACAGGAGCTAACAAGCCCCTGTGTGATAGCATTTGGAGGTGACAGGTTATCTTTATTAATCCTGCCACCTCCAATACAGGACCTCTCCTTTTACAGCTTAGGCCCCGTTCCCACTGCGCGATATGCAAATCGCGCGTTTGTCGCGCGATTTGCATATTGCGCGACATCGCGAGATTTGCCGCGCGATATCGCGTTCAAGCTTGCATTGAGCAAGCTTGAATCGCGGCTAAATCCGCTCCAAAAAGGGTCCTGCTGTAGCGACACACGACCCGCGACAGCAGGACCCTTTGCCCCATTGAAATGCATTGGAG